TAAAAGTTTAAAAATAAAAACAAATCGTTACTCCATTTGGGCTTCTGAAACAAACTTCCCTAAATGGGGTAGCTTTTAACCAGCATATAGTTTTGCTCATGGTTTGGAAGCTGAAAGTTCATAAGGCATTGGAAGTTTCTATAGATGGTTAATGAACAAGCCAGTTTATTTTTTTAAACACACACACACACACACACACACTCACACGCACACTTTAGAAAGGATACTAAGTACCATACTTGAGGGACTTTACCCTCATGATCTCATTTTGTTGCAGAAGACTGTTTCCTCATCTCTGTCATCTTGGTGGTTGTACCACCATTCAGACCATAGCAACATGTGGTTTGTTTGCTGTGTGTGTGTTGGGGGTGGGGTGTGTAGGTTGGACTTTACTATGTAGCCCAGATTGGTCTTGAACTCAGTGGTCCTTCTACATCAGCCTCCCATTGCTGGTATTACAAGTGTCAACCAGCACGCATGACTTCGTCTTCATTTACTTTAGAATTATTCTGTACTAGAAGGCAGTAAGTGTTCTAGAGATAGACATGTGCTAGGGTCTAGAGGAGGTTGGGGGAGATGGACTGTACTGGAAAAATGCATTTGAGCAGTCATGAGCTGTGTGCTGGAAGAGCAGTTTGAACAAGGGTATTGAGGTGAGACTGACCCTGGTGTGTGGGAGGACAACCAGGAAGGAAATAGCTGGGGTATTCCTCTAGGGACTTGGGTGTCATTGAAATGGAAAATACTGTAGATTGGATTTCTGCCTGAGGTTGCCAGTTCCCCTCTAGAGTTTTAACAGTGCCACTGAGGGTGTCATGTTTGGAATAAACTGTAGGTTCTGGAATTTAGAAAGTAATGATTAGGGCATGGGATGATCAGATTTTGGGTGTGTGCTTTAAACATTTACTTATTTGTTTTTGCTAACATGTTTCCTACAATATACACAGGTCAAAAGACAACTGAAGTCAAATCTCTTCTACCATGTGAACCCTGGAGAGTAGGCTCAAGTTTCAGGCTTTGTTGTAAAAGGAGCCGCTTTCCCGCCGCCTGACTCCCGACCGGCTAGTTTATACCTGAAATAACAACACACAAATTGTATTCATTTAGACACTGCCTAGCCCATTATATCTAGTCTCTTATTGACTAACTCTCATATATTGATTAACCCATTTCTAATAATCTGTATGTCACCATGAGGTCGTGGCTTACCGGGACGATTCTAACCCCGGCCGGAGCTTCGTGGCGTCTGCCCGACTCTGCTTTCTTTCTCCCAGCATTCTGTTCTGTCTACTCTGCCTATCTAAGCTGCTGTCCTATTAAAGGCCAAGGCATTCTCTTTATTTGGCCAATGAAAGTAATACATAGACAGAAGACCCACCTACATCAAGGCTTGCTGGCAGGTGCCTGCATCTACTGCGACATCTTACTTGCCCTCTGTAGAGTTACCTCAGGTTCCTATGAATTGTATGTGGGGAAAAGGATGTGGAAAGGAAGAAAGGGTGAAGCCAAGTTTGAGGGCAGAGCAATTGGACAAGAGTAGGGTAGTTTACAGCCGGCACAGGGGAGAAGGGAGGCTGGCGGGTTTGTTGTCTATCATCTTAATGTCGGGCGATGGTTGGTTCTGAAGCTAGGTGAAATGACTAAGTCTAGGGTTGGACAAGGGCAGCAACACACAAGTCCTGTGCTTCCAACACAGGCCAGGCAGAAAACTAGAGTGTGGCAGTGCTCCTGGGAGGGCCTTGTGCTGTGCGAGGAGGCTGTGAGCTGACTGGTAAAAAGTTGGTGTGTTTAGTGACTTGAGTTGCTGAGAAACCTGTGTTGGTGAGTGTGGAAGAGGAAGCGTGGATGGAGTGTGTTGGTGAGTGTGGAAGAGGAAGCATGGATGGAGTGTGTTGGAGAAGGCCTTCCCTTTATTTACTCTCAAGTCCTGTGGACTCAGGGTTAGCATCAGTAGAGGAAGATGCATAGCTTTGCCGTGTTTTGTCTCTAACCATGGGGGGGCCTGCCATTTTCTGAATAGAAATGGAGGAGGAGTAGATGGGGTGTGTGTGTATGTGGCAGAGGGAAGGTGGGGGGAGGATCTGGGAGGAGAAGAGGGAGGGGAAACTGCCTGTGAATGGGGTGTAAAATAAAAACAAAAGAAAAGAAGTACGCAGGAGCATAGGGTGAGATTTGGTCTGTTTGCCTGGGACTTTTAAGTCCCTAAAAGCAGAACTGGTTGAGGTATCAGCGTCTTCGGTGAAGTTTTAAGCATTTTCCACAGTGGTGGGCATGAAGTTCTGAGAGACAGGCAGTTGTGTGCAGTTACTTTTGGTTGGCATTGACATTGTGAGGTCATTGGTCCCCAGTTCCCTGGGCTCTTCTGGGCAGATTACCCAGTCTTTCTCCTCGTAGTTTTCTTTTTAGTCATTGTGGGAGTAAACACGACTTTGTTTTACAGCCCAATAAGGAGAGTAGAGAATTGCCTGAAGTATTTTAATGTAAACTGTCAACCTGAGTAATACTTTTACAATTTCTTTTCTTTTTTATTTCTTTCTTTTCTTTTTCTTTCTTTCTTTTTTTCCTTTTTCTTTTTCTTTCTTTTGAAACAAATCAAATCAAAACAAAACAGGGTTTCACTGTGTAGCCGTAGCTGTCCTGGAACTCAGTTTGTAGACCAGACTGGCCTTGAACTCACAGAGATCCATCTGCCTGCCTCTGCCTCCCTAATGCTGGGATTAAAGGCATGTGGTAGCATGGCCTGGCCTGAATAATATTTATTTTTTGAGAATTTCATACTACATATTTTGAACATAGCCTCTACCAACTCTTCCTGTAACCACTACCAACTCTTCCTGTAACCACCCTCTCCACTCTCCCAGTCCTTCCCACCCAATTTTGAAATTTCTTCATTACTTCTCCCTTCCCTGCCCCACCCCATCCCCACTGAGTTCAGTTTGGTTGATCAGCTACCCGGGTGTGTGACTGACCTGTGAGGGTCACAGCATTAAAGACAGACTACTCCCCCTCTCCCAGTGGCTATCAAATGCCCTTGGATGGTCATGGCTAGTGGTGGGACCTCCTGCCCGCTTCCCCATCTGTGCTGCAGTTTTCTCTGACTGTAGCTCGTGTAGTCTTGTGCACACTGTCAAGTGGTTTCGAGTTCACCTGCGCAGCTGCATTGTTGTGTTCAGAAAATACTGTTTCCTTGATGGATAGCATCCCCAGTTCTGTCTCACAATCTTCCTGCCCCTCTTTATGAAGACCTCCAAACCTAGGTTCACAGTAAGAGTGAGGTGTGGGATACACACTTGAATCCCAGCTTTTGGGTGAGCCAGGAGGTTGGAGGTCCAGGCCTACTTAGTGGGAACTTCATCTCAGGAAAACTAAAAAAAAACAGAAACAAACCAAAACAAACAAACAAAAACCATGGTTAACCTTTCCTTTGCTTACTTGCTTTAGAGAGTGCTGGGATTGCAGGCTCACCTGGGTCACCTGCCTTGTGCACTCTAGGTCAGGAGTTTCTACAACCACACCCTCCAGCCCTGGGTGGTTTCTCTTTAAGGCTGGGTCTGGTGTTCTCTTTATGTCACAGTGGTTTTGAACCCCAGTCCTCCTGCTTCCATCTCTTATTGCTGGGATTGGGGGTTGTATGTCCAGGTCCAGCTTTAAACTGGAAAGGACAGTCCCTGGTTATGCCGGCTCAACAGTTGCTTTAAAAGCTCTTATGAGGCTTTCTGCCACCTTCGGGTGTGTCCTGTCTTATTTATCCTGGAAACTGGAAAAAGTTACTTTGACTTCATGTAGCTAACTACTTAGAGAAATAACTAAAGGGAAAAAAATGCAATTTTAGTTTTTCAATGACTTCAAAAATGGTCCACATATTTTTAAAATCTTAAATACATATATTTTTGATGTATTTAACAAAGGAAACATTTTATATTTTGTTGAAAAGACTTGTATTTCTATCTTTTGAATGAAACCTTAAAATCTTCCTTTTTTGCACATTTTCTTCAAAGTATAGCATTATTAAATATGTATGAATGTGATTAACTTCTTAGATTCATAGCCGTTGTTTTGTTTTCTAGTGAATCAACAAAATTGTGTCTCATTAAGCATTGATATATAAAATTAAAAGATATCCAGGATATTTTTTGTGACTTGTTTTAAAGTACATCTGAAAATTATGAAAACTGCAAGTCAAGATGGAAGGTTGTTTAAATTATATAGTGCGGACTAAAGATGAGAACATGGCTAAGGTGGTGTCAGAGAAGCCCTTCACCTTGTTTAAACAACTCATTATTAGAAATGTTTTCATATAGAAATCGTCTCATATTAACAGTTTGGTGACTGCACTGATCATGGGATTCTGTGACTGGCCTGAGTATTGATGATGCGTGCACACCGTCTCAGGAGTAGAAATACATGACTGTATGAGCTACTTTTCAGCTGAAGCGATAAATTGCCGTGATCAAAAACAGCTTCATGAAGGAAGTTTATGTTGGCTTACAGTTCTGGAGGGTTCCAGAGGACCAGAGTCTTTAACCGTGGTGGCAAAGGCATGGCATGCAGGCCTGGGGTGGGGGCAGTTTGAGGAGGAGGAAGGGTAGAGGGACCAAGGAACAGGAAGTAGGACAAGGTAGTAACAATCCCCCTCCCCTACATAATCCCTGCAGCAATGCTGCACCTCCTAAAGGTTCCACAGCCTCCTCAAGCAGCGCTACAACTGGGGGCCAAGTGTTCAACATGTGTGAGCCTGTGGGGGACACTTACGTTCAAACTACCACATAAATGTTACGTTTGCTTTCTGCGTTTCTGTAGCTCTAGAATTTTGATGACGTTTTCCTTGCTGCTTTTAGGTATCTTAGTAGTTCTGTATGGCAGCTGCAGTGATGGCCTTCATAGACTGACTTCTTTGTGTTCCAGTGTTACAATCTCCCAGTTATATGGCCTTTATAACTCTAATGCGCAGGAAACAGAATTGTGTTAGGCGCCTGATAGTATTAACATTTTTCTTTCAGGTAATCTGCAATGCTGGAACGAAGTAACTCAAGATGAGCAAGCTAAAAGTGGTAGGAGAGAAAAGGTACTGCAGCCTTGATATGTGTGGATATTGGTAGATGTGTGGTGTGCAAATAATGTGCAGTACAGTTATCAGGACTGATTAAATATGCGTGTTGTGTAGTGGTGTGTTGAGCATATTTCACTAGTACTTTCGGTTAAAGGCTAACTTCCAGCATGTCTAATGAACTAAGAGTGGTTTTACATTTTAAAATAGTTTAAAGTATAGTACATTTTGACATGCAAAATAATAAGAAACTCAAAGACTCAGTGCACGACATTGATACTTTATTGATACACAGCCTACCCATTAATTTGTTGTAGCTACTCGGTCCATAACCCTAAAATAGATGCTTTCTGGCCCTTTACAGGAAAGTTTAAGTATCCTGAGTTTAAGTCAGACAAACCTTACTGATTAGATTGTACAGCCTTGAAACAGATTAACTCTGTTATGCCCGTTTTCTCTGTAAAATTATCTTGATGTTAGTGTTCTGTGGTGCCAATGGCTAAGTAATACCTCGCTGAGAAAATAAATGATGTCCTGTTAACACTGATGATAATCAAGGCTTCTACTCTGAGGGCAGGACTGTAGCTCATGTGTTCCTGTGTATGATTTTGCTTTTGTAGATACTATGTTATGAAATGGGAAATGTATAGCTTATTAAGTAATGTTTATTTCTTAAATAGTTAGGTTTTTCTGGTTATTTAACATAATCATACCATAATAAATTGCATTATTTCATTAGCTGTATAGTTTTTACAGGAAGTTAGTTGGGATCTTTTTTTTACCTTCCTCCCTCCTGCCTTTCCTCCATCACTCCTTTCTTCTTCCCTCCCTTCATGTGCAAATGCATAAATGTGGGGGGGACATGTATGCCATATTGTGCTTGTGGAAATCAGAGAACACCTTTTGGGAGTCAGTCATTTCCTTTATGGGGCTCCTGGAAATTGAACTCAGGTCTCTAGGCTTGTGTGACAAGTGTCCTTACCTCCTGAGCCATCTCTCTGGTCCTAAGCCTTACTTTTCTGAGCAGGTCAAATAACTACTCTGTTTTCCCACTAGTGAGTTAAGTTGTCTAATTTACAAGCTATATACAGTTTGTAAAGCTCAGACTCTCGTCAGTTTGTTTCTGCTTTCTAAAATGAATTGTACTATATAGTTATTGCTTTTGTTCTAGGCTAGTCAGCTACTATACATTTTTACTGTATTAAAACATTTCATAATTTCTATTAATATTATTGTAGTAGTTCTTGCATTTCTGTGGTCACAACACATGACAGACAACTCACAGAGAAAATATTTATGTTAGCTCATAGTTTTAGAGCATGAAGTCCATGTCACTGTCCCCTTGACCTTGGGAAGACTAGAGGAGTAGTGAAGCTGATAATAGACCCGCGAAAACTTACCCAGTAACTTCTTCTAGCTGTTCCCTATTTCCTGTTTCCACAATTTTCTAAAGCAGCAGCACCCTAGAGACCAGCCATCTATAAACTGTAAGCTATGGAAGCATTACCTGTTCAGACCATGGCACTTTCCATATTGCTTGGTAAGTGACCGCCGAGTGCAGTAAGGTGGACTCAGTGCCAACAGCTGCACTCGTGGAACTGCAGTCAATGAACTGTGCATCACAAAGACCTGGAAACACACTTGGTGTTTGCACTGAGCATGTGCAGACCTTGTCATTGTTTCCTAACCGTAGACTTATGATTTACACCGTATTAGATATTGTAAGGGATCTAGAGATGATCCGGAGTGTGTGTAGCTTACATAAGGAAGTTGATTTGGATTTCTGTGAGGTTCTAGAAGTTCTAAGAATATCTATACAGATAATGAAATTGAGAATTCAAAAATGTATCCGCCAAAGATCTGAATCAGGGAAAGAACAGTCTCAGGAGTTGTTTTGAATTACCTTTTATTTGAATTATATCAAAACCACATCAGGTTCCATAGGAAATTGTGTTTTTGTATTTTCCCCTATCTCCAGACGCTTTGTGGATGCTTTTTTCCTATTTTATGATTTATTTTATGATCATGATGTGAGTCTCCTTAGCACTTGGGACTAGCATTACATAGTACTGTGTGCATGTATGTGTGCATGTTTATGTGTGGTGAGTGTAGGCATGCATATGCCACAGTGCCCAGGTTAGAGGATACACTTTAGTGTTGGCACGTTTTTCTTGTTTGAGGCAGGTTCATTTCTTCTATAAAATTGTTCAAAGTAATTCTGTTTTAATTTGTATAAAAGCTAGGGAGGTTTCCCGTTTTTTCTGATAATTTGTGTACTCTTTCTCCCTCTTTTTTTCTTGAACAGTTTGGCTGGAAGTTTATTTTTATTGATTTTCTCCCCCCCACAAAAAAAACCTAACCTTCTGGTTTCAGTGATTTTGGGGAACTTTGTGTCTTTTGTGTTATTGTTTTCTGCTTTGCTAACTCAAGAGTAGTTTTTTAAAAAAATTATTTATTTTTCTTTTATGTGCATTGGTGCTTATGTGCACGTATGTCTGTGTGAGGGTGTCAGATCCCCTGAACTGGAGTTACAGTCATGAGCTGCCATGTGGATGCTGGGAATTGAACCTAGTCCCCTGGAAGAACAGCCAGTACTCTTAACCACTGAACCTTCTCTCTCCAGCCCCATTTAGAATAATTTGCCTCCCCCCTCAAGTTAAAAAATATATGTTTCAAGCTAAGTGACTTGAGATGTTTTCCTTTCTCGCTTCCTTCTCTTCTCTTCTCTTCTCTTCTCTTCTCTCCTCTCCTCTCCTCTCCTCTCCTCTCCTCTCCTCTCCTCTCCTTAATTGATTAATTAATTAATCAATTAATTAATTAATTTTCTTCTTTGTCCTGGCATTGCATATCTGATTAATTCTAATGTTTTGTTTTTATTCAGTTCAAGATTACTTTTTAAAAAGACTGATTTTTATGTATGCATTTATGTATATGGGTGTTTTGTCTGCATATAGTCTGCATACCAAAAGAAGCTATCAGGTACTACAGTTACAGGTGGCTGTGAGCTGCCATGTTGGTGCTGGGAACTGAATTCATCATGACTCTGGAAGAGCAGCCAATAAGCAGCCAGTGCTTCTAACCACTGAGGCATCTCTCTAGCTCCCTCATGATGACTTTTAATTCTGTTTTAAAATTTCCTTTTATCTGTGTTTTAAAGTGTTAATTTCTAAGTATGTGAGGAATTTTCAGTGGTTTTAACTGATGTTATTTTAGTTTATTTGTGGATGAGAAGATGCACTGATGGAGTTCTTTTGACACTGTGTAGCTGCGCTTCCCCGTGGAGCATGCTCCATCCGTGTTGCATGTGGATGTGCATCCTGCTGATGGAGGCCCTGGGAATAGCCAGTCACACTGATGTGTGCTATATTCAGATACTTCATCGCTCTCCTGCTTCTGTCTGTTGATATTGGGATCTCCATAAATTTGCTTTTGTGTTCTGTAAATTTTGCTTTCTAAATTTTGAAAGTATTATGTCTTTTAAGACGTTATCAAGGATTGATCATTACAAAATGTCCTTTGTTCCTGGTTGTCTCCTCTCCTCTCCTTTCTCTCTTAAGTCTATTTTTCTGATGTTAATATAACCACTCTAATTTTTAAAAACAATTAGAATTAACATATATATCCACAATCTTTATTTTAAAAGTTTTATTTTATGTGTATATATTAATGTCTGCATGTCTGTCTCTGTACTGTGTGCTTGGTGCCCTCCAAGTGTACTGTGAAGAGGACATTGGATTTTTTGAACTGAAGTTAAAGACAGTCGTGAACTGTTCTTTGGATTCTGGGAATTGAACCCAGGTCCTCTGGAAAGGCAGCCAGTATTCTTTAACCCTGAGCTATCTGTCAGCCCCTATTGTTTTACTTTTAGTCTACTTTTCCTTGAAGGAAATATTATTTTTATTCTATTATTTTAAAATATATTTTATTTTGAAATTAAAATATAGTTCAGTTACATAATTTTTCTTCTTTTCATTCGACCCTCCAACCCCTTCCATGTAACCCCATCATATTCTCTCTCAAATTCATGGCCTCTTTTTCTTTAATTGTTGACATATATTCCAAAATGTATAAATAGCCTGCTTAGTCTGTACAGTGTTGCGTGCATATGTGTGTGTGTGTATGTTTTCAGGGTTGACCACTTGGGATTAGATAACCATTTGAGGGGGTTCTTCCAGGGGAAGGCTGTTTCTTCCACTCTCAGCCATCCTTAGTTGCCCATAGTTCTTTGTCTAGGGTTGGAACCCCAGGAGAGTCCCCCACCATGTTGCATGTCTGTTGGTATTGTCCGCACTCAGGTCTTCTTTAGGTAGCCATGTTGATGAGTCCTCATGGGTGCTAGGTAGCCTTTTTGTCGTTTATAGAAGACATGACCTCACAGTACACCTGCTGTTCTGCTGGAGTCTTTTCGCCTCCTATTCCACAGTGTCTCTGAGCCTCGGGTACCAGAGTTGTGTTGTCGATGTGTCAGTTGGGGCTGGTACCACCTGTTCTCTGCTTTTTGTTCAGATGTGACTTTCATTAATGGTCTTCATCTGTTGCAAAGTGAAGGTTGTTTGTTTGTTTTGATGAGGGGTAAGAGTAACACTTATCTGTGGGTGTAAGGATGAGTATTTAGGATGTGGTTAGGAATTACTAGATCCAAGATCCATGACCTCACTAACTCCGAGTGTTGGCTGGGTTTCCCTCGTGTTGAAAGTGCCTTAAGTCCAATTAGAGAGCTGTTACTGTCAAGAAATGCCACACCCCATACTTGGGGCTGTTGTGCCGTACTGGTTGCTGTTGTGATTTCTAGGCATCATAACTGGGCAGGACTGTTGGCTGCTTTCTTACCTTCCTAGCTTGTGTGGGACTTTCTTGGTACCATGAGAGCGAGTCCTGTGGGCTGTGTCTGAAGTGCAGTGTGTCTCCAGCAACAGGGACTCATCTTTCATCTCTGGGAGGCAGCGAAGGCAGCAGTAGTAGCATGTAGTCTACTTGAACTCCTTTGACTAACAACCCAAAGGGGGGCTTCTCATGCCCAGTATGGGGATTTTTGTTAGCTCGTTTATGTTTCTTGGGGAGGAGTATTGTCAACCCAGGTGGGAAAATTTTAAACTGTGTATCTGTACAAACATAGACTTATATGTAATTTTAGATAAATATATAATAATACGATTATTTATGACTTTTTCAGACATCATTACTGTCATTTCCCCCTCATCCTGCCCTCTCTTTCTGTAATTTAAACCCTCCCCTATTTTTTTCATTTATCTGTTCAAATCACTTACATCCTGCACTTCTCGAGTGCTCCTTGGATAGTCTCTTTATACTTGTCAGGTTTCCGTGGTTACTCCAAGATTACTCTTTCTGTGGTTATTCTTTATTAAAAACTGAGATTGTTTTGTGTATAACTTTTGAGGATATTTAATAGAAAATAGATATATTTATCTAGATTTTACAGTGAGGGACTGAGGCACTAATTATGGACATTTATAGACAAAATATCTTTCTAATTTGTTGTCATTTTTAAACAGAGCCTCAGGTATTCATAGTCAACCTTAGACTTACCATGTGGCCAAGGGTGGCCCTTGTCCTTCTGACTCTCATACTTCCCCTTCCCAGGTGCATCTGGAATGACAGTTGGGCACCATCACAGCTGGCCCCGTGGGACTGGGAATTGAGTCTAGGGTCACATATCAACTGAGTCTCATGCCTAATGTTGAAGAGGCTCTTTAAAAAATAAGGCATGGATTCTTTAGTCTTGGTATACTACATGCAACTGAAATTAATAAAACCTGGAAGACCATACTATGTTCCATTATGATTTTTTTTAAAAGCACAAACTTAAGTAGTTCATTTGTGCTTAAAATACCCTTCACACAGTAGGCGCTTTTATCTTTGCATTTTGAGCATCTTTCTGACCACCTTCTTGCTCAGAAGGTGGCCACCCGACAGTATGGCACTCACTGCCACAGTGAACCAAGGACAGTAGCTGCTATTCTCACAGACTCACCACAGCTATTGTTAGCTTCCCAGACCTGCCTAGGACTGGGCTCTCAACATGTTACCTCCCTCTCTCTGTGGAGCTATTGGCAGGCAGCTAATGGTGACTGAAGAAGGATAAAAGCTTCTTCAGGGATCTAGCCACTCAGAAGTTGCCCATGCTCTGGTGAACAGTCTCCCGCCCATGCTCTGGTGAGCAGACAATTCTAATTAAACTTGGTCGGCCACACCCAGAAGACATGAAGGCAGGAGGCTGGACTTGTTGAGGAAGAAGGATTTCTCAGGAAAGGGAAGGGGATGAGAGGGGAATGGGAGGGTTTTGAAAATGACTAGAATTTATTATACACATGCATGAAACTGTGAAGGAATAAAAAATAGGGGAGAGAATGCAATGCCAAAGACAGTTTTAGCTGTGGAAATAAGTGCACCCTGTCTAACCATTTGTGGTTGGAATCTTCATTTAGCTAAACCTTCTCTCCTGTGCACTTCTTCGAATGTCCTCACTCAGGGACTGGTGGGGGTGCCTCTTGAGGAGCACAGGTGACTTTGAGAGGCTGTGAGGCAGCAGGCTGGATGGATTGCCACCACAGAATGTGCAGTGGGCTGAGAGCTGGGCATTGCAACAAGGCAGATGGGACAGCTTTCCAGGAATCCGGCTGTCTGCGGGTGATTGCCTTGTGTGTAATGTGGAGGGCTCTGCTGTGCTGCCTCTAGCACTGAGGGCTAGGTAGTCGAGGAAGCGCTGCTAGGTGCCAGTGCTGTCCGACTTGCCCTGTTGGTGGCAGGCTCAGTGAGCCAGATGGACGCCAAAAGCACATACCAAATGATCAGAAGGTCTCCCCTTGTTTGCTCATCAGCTGCAGGTGACCGGGAAGCAGTCTGATTGAATACATCAGTCCCTGCAGATTCTGAACTCTTCCTGGCTCTGGGCTGACAGCAGGTGTGGGGAGGAAATGGAAATTGAAATTGCAGAATGTCTTGAGTGTGGTGAGGAAAGCGTTAGACACTTGCCTTTGAAAATAGGGAACACAGTTCTTGCAAAGGAGTTAATGTTGTTAACCCTGGTTGACCTATGGATAAAGAGAGATAAATGGTAGGGTAGCGAGTAGACTATGGAGATCATTCAGGCTTACATTTGTTTACTAGTGTCACAATGGAGATTATCTCTTTATAATCTGACTATCTGGGTTTTGTGTCTGTTGAAGGTTTTACATTATTTTGTGCCATTTTACTGCTCTGGTAATTGATAAAACTATATATAAGTACTAGGCTGATGAGATGGGTCAGGAGGTAAAGTCAGTTGGCACCAAGGTTGACACCCTAAGTTTGAACGTGGGGACCTACATAGTGAAAGGATAGAACCAATTCTTCAAGTTCCCCGCCAGCTTCCACAGTTAATAAATATCTCCTCGATAAATTTAAAATTTACACATAAACAACAGACATTGAACTTCCAGAAGAGTACAGTGTAACTGATAAAGCATTGTGTGAGATGAGGTATAGGCTGAGCTGGTGGCCCAAAATGCAGTAGGAGCATAGGTTCAAATGTGCTACTGCCATGCTTAAGGGTTGTTCAAGTGCAGCAGAGTGACTCTGCTTTTCCTGGTGTATCGCTTCTGTCTGTATCTGAGCATTTTCTCCAGTTCTTAACATCATATAACCTGTAGAAATGGGGACAGATATAGATAAATGCCTGTCTCATGTGTGCTTACATCTCATTTGGCTAGAACTTAGATACATGGTCATATGTTGTGTGGCAGTCACAGGACTAATCTTAGATATTTGAGTTCTCTTCCTTTGGGCACTGGCCCAGTTTCATTGCTGCCACTGTGATGAAATATTCTTATAAAAAACAACATAGAGGAAAGCGTTTATCTTAGTTCAGAGTCCAATGTTACAATCCATGGTGTCAGGGGAGTCACTGCAGTGGGAGCTCTGTTGTGTCATCCATGATGGGTTAAGTCCTCCTACATCATTTGACAGACCCCACATGCATGGCCACAGGCCACCCAGTCTACACAGTTTAGTCTTACAGCTCCTTCTGGACAGCTATAGGCTGTGGTGAGTGTACATTTAATACTAACCATCATGACACATTCAGGTACATTTAATACTAACCATCATGACACATGATGACGTCTCTGATCTCCAGAAGGCAGACGAGGGGTTTAAAGGTACCATGTGTGAGGAAAGGGAGAGTAGAGATGGGGACAGCTGGCTTGAGATCCTAGCTAGTGTGTGTGCTGGCGGATGTGACCTAGTAAAAGGACGTTAGATGGCATCGTTATCATCATCGTTGTTAGCACCACCATCCCCCCGCCCTCCTCCTCCTCCTCCTCCTCTCTCTGTTTCTGAGACAGAGTCATTTGTGTAGCCCTGTCAATAGGCGCTTAGTGTTTCTGTTGCTGTGATAAGACACTGTGAGGAAGGCAGCTTACAGAAGAGGTTTTTTGTTGTTGTTGTTGTTGTTTTGTTTTGTTTTAGCTTATAATTTCATAGGGCCCATGATGACAGAGTAGAGTTCAGGTAGCCAGAACAGCAGCTGAGCGCTCATATTTTGAACCCCAATCAGGAGGCCAAGAGCACACTAGGAATGGTACAAGTCTTTTGAAACCTCAAAACCTGCCCTGGACACACATCCTCCAACAGGCCCACAGTCCCTAACCTTTCCCAAAGAGTTCCACCTACGGGAACAAAGTGTTCAAACATTTGGACTGTGGGGACGTTCTCATTCACAGATGGTCAGTCAGATCAGACACAATCCAACACACCAGCCAAAGGGAGTGTGACAGTTTGTATTGTTACTGTGTGTGTAACACGTGTGGGAGTACACACGAGCTGTGGTGTGTGAGAAGGTTAGTGAACCACTGTGGAGTTGATTCTCCAAAAAGAGGCTTTAGGAAAGAGAATATATTGCTTTTCTGCCAAAAACCCAAACCAAGGCAAAGAACTGGAAAGCCCCAGGTTTTCAGAGAACTTGCTGGCTCTGAGTGGTGAGTGGCCCTGTGCTGGCTCCAGTGCCCATGCTCAGCCCTGACTGCTGCTCTTCTTGCCGGCTGTGGTAGCTAGTGTAGCCGTTTGGCCATCTCCAAGCCCAGCAGGCATGTTCTTGACTTGGAGCTTTGGTGGCTGTGACCCTGTCTGCTGCAGTCTATGTGGCTCACATCTTACTTCTGGGTGTGGCTTTCCAGCGAGGTGAGCGTGGAGACTGTCCCACCTCGCACATGTGAATCCTCCACCCTCCCTCCAGATCACTTCCCACCACCTGAGAAGCTGTGTAATTCATGCATACACTTATTTGACTTGTGTGTGAGAGGTAGATTTTTTTATTTTATTTTATTTTATTTTTTTTTAAGATGACGTCTTACTCTATACCCAGTGTGGCCTGGAACTTGGAGTAGCTCTTTAGCCTCAGCCTTCCAAGTTGTGGGTTTACAGATAACAGTTCTGTAAAAAGCATGGAGTAGGATAGGACAGCGGGGTTTCAGTTTTGAGAAGAGTGGAGGAAGTGCAAAGCCTTGGAAAGTAGAGAACTTGGCAGGTGCGATAGGAGATTCCTGGATGGTGATGCATGTTTGTTGTTTGTGAGTTTCTGAAACAGAGTATGTTTTCCAGTCAGAAATTAGCAGTGGTATAGAAGCAGTGAAGGGCTGTGGCATGGAGTGGTTAATGTTTAAACAGTGGCCTCTCTGAGAAACATTCTCTTTGCAGCTGGCACAGAACCCACACTAATGGAGAGCCATGTTCTTTGTAGCCTTACCAATAGTTCTCGGGTTGTCGGGCTCCTGGCTCAGCTGGAGAAGATCAATACGGACCCCACAGAGTCGGATAATGTCAGATATGTCACATCCAAGATTCTGCATCTGGCCCAAAGTCAAGGTAAGCTGGAATCCTTCTTGTTTTTGGAATACTTTTTCAATTCTTTAAAAGTAGAGACTAAGAATGTTCTGATTTTTAATATGAAGAATTTTTGAGAACTGATGGTTTTCTGTAAAAAATGGCCTTTCTCAGCCTGACTTAAGGAAGTAGGAAACTGAATGACTTTGGAGGAAATTGATTTTCAGTGCACCTTTTTAGATTTGATCCCTGATCAGATGCCTGAGAAACAGATTATGGAGAAAATATGTATTTTGACTCTGCTTCAGAGGCACAGTTCATGGTCAGCTGGCACTGCTTTCAGGAGGCCACACACTGTGATGGAAGTGTGTGGAGCTCCCTTCACAACAGTCAGTGAGCAGAGAGAGCCTGCGTGTCTGTTTGTGTGTGTGTGTGTGTGTGTGTGTGTGTGTGTGTATACGTATACATCCCTCATTTTATCCTGTCCGACACCTAGTGTGTTGGGTGGTGCTGCCTGCACTCTCCACTTAGATGTCCTGGCACCTCAGCCCAGAGCAGTCTTCACTCAGCACTGAAACATATTTTGTACCCAATATCCAAAGAGGATCATAGTTTTACAATTCCATCTGACATGACATCACTGGCCCTGGTAAAACCACATCCACAACAGCTTCCTGCCTAGGTCTCAACGATTCTGGTTCTCTCCAGTCTAAGCCTGAAGACTCTTGGGAGACTCACTCTAGCTGTGAGCCACAGTGGGTCCCACAGGACCTACTTGCATCCACTATACAGTTCATTCCAATCCTAGTAAGCTGCTCAGTTCTATTGCTTCGTGCCTGACATGTGGTGCATGTGCTCACATGATGTGAGCTCGTACATGCTGGGATCATCCTGTCTGTCCAGTGTTCCCAGCTATAGCCGGGCTGGCTTCTTCCCTGTGAGGCTTTGCTTTTTGCTTGCAAATTTACTCAGCAGGTGTCCTTGTTCTTGGGATCTTTATCACACAGGTGCTGAGAGCACTTGTTGAAGAGGCTAACAGATTGGAGCACAGGAATGGATTTTGTTGTAAGGAGGCCAAGAAACTGATGTTTATTTTTTATTTTATTTTTAATTTTCATATCTTTTGGGGTTTTTGAGATAGGGTTTCTCTATGTAACTACCCTGACTGTCCTGGAACTCACTTTGTAGACCATGCTGGCCTCGACTTCACAGAGATCTATATGTCTTTTTCTCCTAATAGATGGGATTAAAGGCATATGCCACTACTACTTGGCAAAACTATGGTGTTTAAAGAACTTTCCACATGAATGTCAAAATCATGGGAAAACCTGGAGTAGAGTGGAAAACTATTAGTTTAACACTTTGTCTTCATTTAGTGTCTAGAATCATAAGATGATAGTTCAGGCTGATGAGGAGCTAGAGATAGCATTGGACTATGCTCACAGACACAGAGGGTTCCACTGTTGCAGCTGACAGTGCAGTGGTTCTGGTGATGCAGAGGTCCGCGTCTTCTGAGGATGTCTCTAACATTAATGTGAACAGTGACTTGGCTGTAGTAAGGCACCAGCCTTCTTTCTATACCAAGATGACTCTTTGAAATAGTATTTTCTTTTCTTCTCCCCCCCTGCCCCTTTGAGGCAGGGTTTATCTGTGTAACAGACCTAGCTGTCCTGGGACTAGCTCTTGTAGACCAGGCTGGCCTCAAACTCACAGAGATCCTCCTGTCTCTGCTTCCCAGCTGCTGGGATTAAAGGCGTGTGCCACCACTGCCTGGCTTTGTTTTCTTGTAAAATCTAAAACTTTTTTGGTGGGGACAGAGGGGAATCCCACATCAGGGACAGCTGGGCTGAGGAGTGGAGTATATACTTAAAAAAAAAAAGAATTTCAGTTTATGAGCACAATATGCCTGTAGGTGAATTTCCACGGTGTTTAGCATTAGCAAAATGTAGCAGTGAGCAGACATGAGGGGTATTATGTCTTCATGCCATTTGTGGAGATGCATGGTTTGAAAGGCAGAAGGTTTCTTTACGTTGTGACTGTCACATGGACTGGACCTGAGATGATGGTGAAGGCAGCTAGCTGTGCAGCTGAACTCCTGTGTCCTGGTGTAGCGCCATGATACCTGCCACGAGCATTGTCACATCGCAGCCTTTGCTCCTGTGTGAGGACATCACCCTGGGCAAGCGCAGACCGCAGTAGGAAGCAGAACTTAATTCTAAGGGGAAGTCCTCAGAGTAGAACTTAAATTAAGTTTTGAGAAATCAACACAGAAGGCAGTAAAGGGAGAAATGAATGTAAGAGACTTGAAATACTTGGGAAAACTGTAGTGTTGTCTTCCCAGTCCTCCAGCTGATGTTTTTCTCTCATGTAGCCCTCTGCTCCTAAACTGCCGTGATTATCTCCATATGAAGTACAGAGTTTAGCCCTCCTGTCTTTGAAGCTGAATTGTAGAATCTATGCTACATTGATATTGGATCCTTTGTCTTTCACTTTTTACACTTCAGAATATTGAGATTAATGTCATGGTCCCCTGCATTAACAGTTCTGGCATCAATGCCCAAGTCTGAGGAAGTAGAAAAGGGCTCCAAACCTCTGAGTACCATGGCTGTGCTCTGAGAGGTCTGCAGAATCAGGAGAGGCGGGAGCTACGGGTCTGTCTCGTTCTTCTCTTCTCAACTTCCCTGTTCCCTGAGCAGAGAGAATGTAGGTGAAATACACGGATTAGGAATAGTTGGTTCTTTCTTGTTATGAACTTTATCTCTCTGTGAATCAAAGAATTATAAAGAAGATTCAGTAAAACCAAAGTATTGGCACGGTTCCCACCCCAGTGGTAAGGACAGGCATTTGAGAGAGAGCATCCGCAGCTTCTCCCCATACAGTCTTTCCTTTGGTGGTTCATTTATGTGACTCAGAATTTTGATCTAAGTAGTAAATACAATGGAAATGTTTGAAAATGGCCTGAGGTTTCCATTACTCATTTTGATGAGCTGTTTTTCAATTCTGTTCATAATGATAAAAAAGTCTTCCATCATAATTTCCACCTTTTACAACTCACTGCCAGTTCTAATTTTAAGATTTTGGAAGGATTGGCGGGGACTTTTCCTAGACTATGATATTTAAGAAGAGAAAGTCTTGTTAACTGAAAATGAAATCCCATCCACATAATAGAATTAAAAGCTTTAGAGGGATGAGCATCCAGTCAGCTTAAATTGTTTACAATGTTAGCTATATCTAACAAAATGTTATGGGTTTTTGTTTTTGTGATTTTGGTTCACATTTAAAGAAATCATTTTTTACCTTTCAGAAAAAACAAGGAGGGAAATGACAACCAAAGGTTCTACGGGCATGGAAGTTCTGCTGTCAACATTGGAGGTACGCACCACACCCAGCCTTAGTGACAGAGCTGTCACAGGAGGTCTGTGGAGGTCACACACACACATACACACACACAGACACACACACACACACACACACACACACACACACACACGTGCACTAACATGTATTATATAGACATACATTTCTAAATGATTATACTAACTTAAAATTTAATCTTAGATATTCCTAAACATTTTGTTATTATTCTGTCTGTGACAGAGGGCGTACCTGCCATGGCACATGTGGACCAGAGGACATTTTGTGGAGTCGTTTCTCCTCCCACCTTGATGTGGGCTCTGAGGATCAGAGTCACTGCAGAGCCGTCCTAATGGCCCTGATTTTAGTTATTGTTTTAATTATCTGCCCGTGTTTGTGTGCATGTGCATGTGAGTGTAGGTGCCCATGAAGGCTTGAGGTGTCGAACCCCCAGGATCCCTAGGTGCTTGTGAGCTGCTTACCTGATGACCCACATGGTAGGAGGAGAGACTCTGTGCCTGCAGTTGTCCCAGGAACTCCATGCCCCCTCCATATACATAAATAATTAAATGTAAGAAAATGATGGAGATATTGAAGTTTTTATATGTGTATAGTAGAGGTCAATATAATCGTGCCTAGAGAAATTAGAAAAGTCATTTGTTAGATATAGGTAGTTACCAGCAGGTTAAAATATTTGAAACAAAAAAATCAGTGTTTTAATAAAGCAACTCATGTGTTTGTTTCAGAACACGAAAGATCTTCAAACTATACTTAATATCTTAAGCATTCTTGTCGAGCTGGTATCTTCTGGTGAGTTTTGATTTACTTTGGTTTGATTTGTGTTTGTAAGTAGTGACCAGCTTTGTGTCTTATGTACTTAAAGGTTCTTGAGATTAAAGTTGTAGAAATGAAATTTCCTGTCTTTGTTGTTGCTTCTTTTGTGGGGAATATGTGTGTGCTAGCAGAAGGCACTTTCTTACCGTCCCTCCACTTAAACTGTGTTCCTTCAAGCATGGTCTGAACCTGGAGCTGAAGGGTTTCCGCTGGGCTGTTAGCCAGCAAATCCCATGGACCTTACTCTCCATGTCCACAGCGCTGTGAGACTGTGCTCAGCTTATGACATGGTGGCTGAGATGGCCTTGGGATTCCATCTCTCCTGTGCAGTGCTTTATTTTTGACATCTTCAGATATTCCTCAAATTCTCCTTGCCTCCTTTACAGCACCTTGACCCTAGAATCTTAGTGCCGTTTGTGTTTGTTTTTGTATACTGCGTTATAAATAAGTGAAATGAAATAAAATAGGAGCAAGGTATGGAGGCACATTCCTGTCTTCCCAGCGTTTGCAGGGCTGGTGCAGGAGGATCACAGATTTTAAGGCTAGTTTGGGCTATACAATGAGACCCTGTAACAAAACACAAAATATGATTTAGATAGTATTTAGTTGTAGAAATGAATGCTTGGGCTGAAACATTTCTTGGATACTAACTTACTGTGATGCTCACAGTGGGAGGATATGCTGTTTGCAATATTTTTGAAAAATTTTTTAGGTGGAGGCCGAAGAGCAAGTTTCTTAGTTGCCAAAGGTGGTTCACAAATACTGTTACAACTGCTAATGAACGCCAGCAAAGACTCCCCTCCCCACGAGGAGTTGATGGTACAGACTCATTCCATCCTTGCAAAGATCGGACCCAAAGGTGAGAGCTCTGTTTTATGGTTACTGAATCTAGAACCATCTTTGTGACTTTGAATCTTTATGTCTTTTTTTTTTTTTTTTACTTTTTTTTAAAAATTTTGTTTTGTTTTTTGAGACAGGATTTCTCTGGGTAACTCTGGCTGTCCTGGAACTAGCTCTTGTAGACCAGGCTGGCCTCGAATTCACAGAGATCTGCCTGCTTTTGCCTCCCGAGTGCTGGGAATAAAGGTGTTTACCACCACCTGGCCAATCTTTGTCTTAAACTGCTTAAATTTTGAAATGTAAAGCACTACTTTCTTTTGGGTTTAACAGTGGAATGCTTTACAGCTAACCAGCAGGAACTGAGGATCCAGGATTCATGAAGAGGTGTTTTGAATGTGGCATACAAGGGGAAGAATGCCAGTATCAGTGTCTTAGTGCTTGTGTGTGCCCATATGCACATATATGTGCATGCATGTGTATATACATTTACACACATACATGGAGAGAGTGAATGCTTTGTGTGTTCTGGTGAAATTAGAAGGAGGGGTGTGGGTACAGTGTGTGGAAGTGAGCATGTTGCTGGACAGTATTTTCACTGATAGTCACATTTGTACTGTGTGCAGGTCAGTGTTCTGGATTCCTATTTACAAAGACCAAGCAGACGTGAAAAACTGTGAGGGTTCGAGCCGCAGAGAGGCATGTAAAATACTAAAAGCACAGCGAATAAGGAGAGGCAGGCCCAGGAAAAGGAGAGTTTGCTTATTCAGGCGAACAGAACACGTCATGCTCTTTGGGTGGAACCTAAAAGTGTAGTGTCTATGTGTTATCTTAACTCTGAAGAGTCTTGATGTGAACATGCTGCACATATATGTTGGCATGTAGCATGCAGGTATTTAGCTTGTATTGTTAGCAGACCGTGTTTTAAAGAATGCAACTGTGTGGTGACCTTGAGACTAGATGTAGTACAAGTCTGTCTTGGCCCTTATTTTTCTTTAAGTTCTATACTTGAGATTCGTGAATTCTCTTTTTGATACTTGTGTAGAAAATGAAATAAAGTTTTATTTATTGATAAATATGATAGTCCATTCTTCCTCTGCTAATTATAGCCAAATTATCTTTTACTTTTTATGAAATTAAATGAAGATATCAATGTGTCTGTTTCTTCCATTTTAATTCAAAAGTCATTTTTATTTTATTCTGCATCTTAAATTTGTACTTTCCCCATTAGCATTTGTACAACTTTTCTGTTCTTATGCCACTCATTCAGGTTGTACAGTAATTTTTTGAGTGATTTTTTTTCCTGTGACATAGAGGTTACTTTACTGTAGGAATATTCGTTCTGCCTTGAAATCTGTGTTGTCAGTGACCGACTTCTGTTGGCCTCTGTAGATACAGTGACGCTAACAGGTGAAATGTCCATTACCCTGAATTGCAGTACTAAATACATGTGTACTAAGATTATCACCTTGTATTCTACAAATGTGTATAATTATTATCTTAATCAGAAATTAAAAATAAAATATTTAAGGAGATGGAAGTGTTAGTGGCCATGACTCAGTTGTTACCTGCCACAGCATGACCTGAGTTTTCAGAATAGTTCCTCTATTTGCTCACACATTTTAAAAGATTTATTTTTTATCATTTTAGTGTGTGTGTGAGGCCAGAGTTGTCAGAGTTCCCCACTGGGATGACATGTAGTTGTAAGGTGCTTGCTGTGGTTTTGGGTGCTGAGCTCGGGTCTCCTGGAAGAGCAGTAAGCACTTCTAACTGTTGAGCCGTCCTCCAGCTTCCCCTTAAAGATTTGTTTGATATATTTGCCACATTATTTTTTATTTTAAGGTATTTATGTTTTTATTAATTTGTATATTATTTTTATAGTTATGAAAATAATATGTGTAAGTTAAATAATACTAATAATGGATATTTAGATTATTTATTCCTCTTCCTGCCTGTTTTTGTGGGGGGTGTATTGAATTAACTTACTGGGTAGTAGGCCAGCTATGCCCGCCTTACATGGGATCATCTATGTTGGACTAACTACTCTAGCCCCTCCCCCGTCTCATTTTCCTGCCTTGTTAGTTTAGGATGTGCTTCAGAAGGGTAAGGTGTATTAGAAATTATACAAAATGATTATCAGTTTGATTATTTCATATCAACTTTGCATCTGACATGAATGTCTAGTGCAGATTTACTATGTCACTGCTGTTTTGGCAGTTCTAGTGGTTACATCCAGGGCCTGGCAATTCTAGGCAAACCCTCTACCACTGAGTTATATCCTTCGTCTCCATTACTTTCTAACTTAGTTTTCTTCAAAAGTTTTATGTGAATAATTTTTTTAAAAACAGATAAAAAGTTTGGAGTGAAGGCTCGAGTGAATGGGGCACTGAATGTCACCCTGAATTTGGTCAAGCAGCACTTTCAGAACTATCGCTTGGCCTTCCCTTGTCTTCAGCTCTTGCGAGTGTATTCTACCAACTGTAAGTACTTATGGGTGGCTATGATCTACTCAGGGCTGTGAGCTTACAAAGTCTATAAATCTCTACAATTTGTGGAAAGTAAACTTTCATATGGCTCATAAGTCAACAACAGTGATTTGGAGTGTGAAGGTGAGGTCAACAGTGTTGAGAATTTTCACACGTTCCTTCACTTTGAAAAGGACTGGGCTGAGAGGAAAGCCCGTGGCAAGTCTCCAGTGGAAGAGTGTGGAGTGTTGGCCACTGGGAAGTGCTTCTGTCTGTGTGGGAGGGGAATTGTCACTTGACAAATGTAGAGTCTCCTGGGAAGGAGGGTCTCAGGAAGGGATAGTCGGTCTGGGTGGCCTGGGGTCATGTTGAGGTGGGAGGACCCTGCCCTTGTGTGTGGTTCTGTTCTCAAAGGAGAGGGGGAGAGGAGATGGATACATGTGCTGCTCCCTATCCCTGACATGGTTCATGTGAGCAGCTACTTCAGGCTCTTGCTGCCTTGCCCTTCCCCCTCCCCCCCCCGTTATGATGGGCTGTTTCCTAGACTTATGAGCTAAATAAATCTTTTCCCCATAAGTTGCTTTTGTCAGTGTATTTTGATCACAGCAACAGAAAACAAAAGTAAGATACTCTGGGCGTTGACAAAGGAGGAGGCAGAAGGCACACAGTCGTTTACCTGCAGCATTGGCTTATCGTCCCGCGACAGGGAGGCAGCAGAGCACACCAAGAATGGTGCTGACATCTCTCAGGAAGTTAGAGAGAAGAGCAATTGAAGGGAGATTGTTTCTAATTACTCCCCCGACAATACTCTCACTTTGATATATTAGGTCTCAAACCTATGAGGTAAACATTTTCCATGTGTTTTCTGACTGAAATCTCAGTTAACACATGAACGATAGGGAGATGGCTCAGTTAGTAAATTCTTGTTGTACAGGCATGAGAACCTGAGTTTTGGTTCCTAGTATCCTTGTTTATAACCCAAATAAACACACAGAGGTCTACATTAATCATAAAGTGGTTGGCCTAGTAGCTCAGGCTTCTTATTAACTCTTTCTTGCATCTTATATTAGCCCATTATTCTTGTCTGTGTTAGCCACGTGGCTTGGTATCTTTTTCAGCAAGGCAGTCACATCTTGCTTCCTCTCTTTCTGGGTGACGACTGCAGACTGACTCTTTCCTATTCCCAGGATTCTCCTGCTTTTGCCCCACCTCAACTTCCTGCCTGGTCATCCCGCCTATACTTACTGCCTGGCTACTGGCCAATCATCATTTATTTAAAATACAAGTGACAGGGTACAAGCCATTGTCCTACAGCAGAGGTGAGAGGGAGCTTGCTGGCCAGTCTGTTTTAATGAATCACTGAACTCCAGATACAATGAGAGACCCATCTCAAAAAATGAAGAACAATAGGAAAAACCACTTGACATTGACTTCTGGCCTCCATATGTACACTTATACACACACACACACACACACAAATTAGAAATAAATTATAGACCATTTGAATATCATGAAGAAATATTGATGCAGTATAAGGTATATGTTGAGCACTTAGTTGAAGGTGTGCTCAGAAAAGCAATGAACACTTATATGACTAAGGACATAAGGAAAGAATTTGATATTTAATCAACAAAGAACAGACGTAAACAGTAAAATTGAGGAATGAATTAGGAAAATAAAAGAAAAAGTAATTTAGATCCAATCACTTGGGAGGCAGAGGCTGGTGAATCTCTGAGTTTAAGGCCAACTTAGTCTACATAACAAGTTCTAGGACAGCCAGGTCTCACAGAGGAATCAAACCCTGTGTCGAAAACCAAAACCAACCAAACAAAACAAAAACCACATTGATTAGGAAAGAGAAAAATTGATTGAAAAATTAAAACTTGATTTGAAATAAAAGTGAAACAATTTAAATACAGCAGCCAACTGAAGAAAGAAGATGCTGGAGATGTGACTGTGGAAGGCTGGCACAGGCGGAGAGCAGGGGCTGGGGTTCCCAGGGGAATAGAAGAGCTGCATTTTTGGTGGCATTTTATTGAAGGCTAACAAATGATTTCTGTGTAAATTTTTTTGTGTGTGCTTGTTTGTTTTTGAGTCAGGTTCTCCCTATGTAGTCTTGTCTGTCTTAGAACTCACGATGTAGAGCAGTCTGGCTTCAAACTCAGAGAGGTCCACCTGCTTCTGTTTCTTGAGTGCTGGAATTAAAGGCAGACAACTACCACACACAGTTTATGTGTAATTGCTTTAACATTTGTTCAGAATTTAAAATACGGAGCAGTTTTCTTACTGCCCATTCTCTGTAGAATACTAAATCTTCAGTTTTACATATTCAGAGCCTGCTTTAGTGAGCCTGGTTACATCACACTAGGTTGGACTCTCCAGAGGGCCCCCGCTCTGCCCAGGCTGTTTGAATGCACATCTAGTGTGTTGCTGGGTGTCAGTTGCTGTAGCTGAAGGTCCTCATCTGTCTTTCCTCACCTTCCCATTTGCAGGTGTTGTCACATGTAGCCATTGATATCTGTGATTTTCATTCTGACATTGTCCATGGTGTACCTATCTGTTGAGCTGTTCCAGAAACTTCTACCTTCTAAACTCCACCTTGCTCCTTTCAGAGCTAACTCATGTTCACATTGAATGGACTTAGGCATTATTTTTCCCAGAAGTCCCCCTGTCTCACTCTGAAGTGGGCATGCCCAGGGGGAATAAACAGCTTATATGACTTACTGCATCTAGACAGTGACGTAGTCATGGCTTATAGTCTCTGCTGCCCCTGCTGTGCTCAGTTTTCTCAGAGCAGAGCCAGTGCTTGTCTCTTACTCCCCACATTCACTTTCCTGGTGTCGTCTCATCATAACTCTTTTTGGAGTGCTAGTTGCTTCCAGCTTCCCATACAAGCAAAGCAAAATACCTACCAACCCCCTCGCCCTACAGCAGACCTTCAGCATGTACTGGTAGCTCACATTCACACTGATTAAATACTTTGGAATGTTTTTGGATTCATCACTAAGACCCATATCACTTTGTGTCTTTCTCTTGTTTCTCAGCTGTGAATGCAGTATCTTTAGGTAAAAATGGAGTTGTGGAGCTGATGTTTAAAATCATTGGACCTTTCAGTAAGAAGAATTCGGGTCTTATGAAGTGAGTAAATGTTTTGGCATGAGTAGAAATATGTCCTTAGTCATTCTCATTGCCTGAGAGTTGAAGTTAGTTGTATTTAGAGTCTCTAGTTCTTAAGTAGTGACTTTTTATAATGGTGAAGATGTTCTTAATTAAAAGCTTAATCTTTAAACTAGAATTTTTCAGTTTACTAAGATTAGTATTTTGTCATGTTGACTTTGGTTCTAGATCCTGTGAGAGGACAGGCCATTTACAGAGTATCATTCACTGAGGCCTTTGTTGAGTGCCTACTGTAGTCCTCACCAACTGGCTAATCTTGTAAAGACTGCTATCCTCCTCCTCAAGACTACCTGATATGTCTTGAAATTATAATTTTTTCTCAAATCATGTTGTTATTTTTATCTTTTCTTCTATTGGGACATGTACGGGTATATGAATGTATGTTATATGCTATATTGTGCACATGTGGTTCCATTAATTTATAGGTCCTCTAACCTCAGAGATGAAGCACTCTTTTTTGGGGGTTATGTTTAGTTGTATTGAGGGGTTTTTAGAACTCACACAGCAAGGCTCATAATGTGTCCTCCCCATGGGTGTCAGTGTCATCATTGTCCTGTTGTGTATGCTCCTGCCACAATGCTGTTTGCATGTTTTATTGGGGACTGTTGAGTAGGTCATGTGGTGTGGTTATTTCTCTCAGTAAATTAGTAGACTTCTTGAACATATACCTCTGTTAAATTAGGATAGAAAAATAGCATTACTGCTACAGTGATATCAAGAGGATAATAATGCCTTACTAGAAAATAATCTCCATATTCTTTGTTGTTGTAGAGTTGCAATTTTACATGGATTTATTTAGATGAGAAATAAACAAGTCATACACATTGTTCCCAGAAACTTTTTTGTTTAAATTTTTTTTTAAAAAAACTACCTTTTCTCATTTTTTGTACCAATCCCAGTTCCCACTCCCTCCCCTCTTCCTGTTCCTTCCACTTCCCCGCCCCACTTCTCAGAGAGGGTAAGGCTTCCCATGGGGAGTCAACAAAGTCTAGCACATTGCTTTGAGGCAAGTCCACTATATCTAGGCTGAGCAAGGTATCCCGCCAAAGAGAATGGGTTCCAAAAATCCTAAACAAGAAGTAGGGATAAATCCTGGTCTCACTGCCAGTGGCCCAGTGTCTGCCTGAGCCATATAACTATCACCCAGATCCAGAGAGCCTAGTTTGGTCCTATGCTGGTTCCTTTGCTCTCGGTCGGAGTTGGTAAGTTTCCATTAGCTCGGGTAAGCTGGTTCAGTGGGTATCTCCATCATGGTCTTGACCTCTTTGCTCATATCTTCACTCCTCCCACTCTTCAGCTGGACTATGGGAGCTCAACCCAGTGCTCCGCTGTGGATCTCTGGTTCTGCTTCCATTAGTTGCCGGATGAAGGTTCTATGGGAACATTTAAGATAGTCATCAATCTGACTACAGGGCAGGGCCAGTTCAGGCACTCTCTCCATTATTACCCCAGAATCTTAAGGGAGTTTTATAAGTTCCCAGAGAAGTAGAGTAGTTCATGAACTCCCAATCTGAGCAGGGGCTGCATTCTGCCATTGTTATTTTACTCTTCTTTCTGTCCATATATTATATCTGCCATCACATTTGATTACTGTCAGGTGTGAACTTCTTATGTTGCCACAAGTTTATTTCTGTGCTTAACAGTATTAATAGTGGTTCTTAATTTCATTTTTTGTTTTATGACTACTGAAGAAATGCCTTCTTAATACTTAGCTTATTAGTATTAGCTTTCAAATATTTTTTATTTGTTGGTTGTATCTCATAATAATATCTATTATTATTTGTTGTTGTTGTTGTGTTGTTGTTTTTTTCGAGACAGGAGTTCTCTGTGTAGCCCTGACTGTCCTGGAACTTGCTTGGTTGACCAGGCTGGCTTTGAACACAGAGATCCTTCTATGTCTATCTCTCAAATACTTGGGTTAAAGGTGTGTGCTGCCATCGCCCAGCCTCATAATTCTTTAAAAACAACAAAGAGCCCATTGTTCTGTTGTGTCTATTGAAGGGTCTCTGTGAGGTTTAAATATGTCATGCTTTGGATTAGGTGACCAGCATACAGGTATGTCCTTTATGTGTACTTGCAGCTTGCCTGCATTTACTTTGTAAGATGAAATGTTTCCGAGGTGATGGTGGTGGTGGGTACTGAGGCATCATTTATGTCGCTGTGCTGAAGTGCCCGTCAGACGACTCCCTCCACCTGCTGACTCTTCCCTCGGCCGGAATCTGTATTTGATTAGGGCATGTAAGACAACTGCTGGTGCAAGGGAGAGCGCTCCACTTCCTGTTCTTCCAGAAAACTTGAGTTGGGTTCCCACCACCGTGACGGGTGCTTCACAACACTCAGAACACCATCTCCAGAGGCCCTGACTCCTCTTCTGGCGTCTGTGCACATCTGCACACATATAGCTTATACTTACATAGATACACATGTATAAAACAACTAAAAATACAGTGACCATTGGGGTTGGAAAAGTAGATCAGCCTGAGGTTAAGAGTGTGACTTGCTCTTGAAGAGGTCCTGAGTTCTGTTCCCAGCACCAATGTTGGCCAGCTCAACATCTTGTGTAACTCCAGCTCCAGAGACTGCAGTGCCCTTTGTTAGCCTCTGTAGGCACTGTACTAAACTGCCCTTACGACACCATGCACATAATTAAAAATGATAAAAATAAATATTTAAAAACATGTCTTTTTAAAGTTTTAGCTCTGAAGTGTTTATAAAGACGGACATGTCAACCTGAAGTATTTGACTGAACTTTATTCTTTAAATATTTTATTTTATATTTTTAATTATGCATACATGTGCATGCATTTGGGTACCTTTGGAGGCTAGAGCCATCAGGTTATCCACATGGAGCTGGAGTCACCTGATGTGGTTGCTGGGAACCACACTCTTTTGCTCTGTAATACCAGTATGTACTGCTGCTCCATCTCTCCAACCTCCAAAGTTTATTTTTTAACAAAGAGGGTGCAGAGTATTTGGACCTTTTTTGTTTGTTTGTTTTCTTGATAAAGGTCTAAATAAATGAATGTGGTGGTAGAAGCCTGTTCTAGCATGTGGGAGACTTAAGGCAGGAATATTGTTAGTTAGAGGATAGCCTGGGACATCGGGAGAGCCTTTCTCTAAGGAAGTAAATAAATAAACATTTCAAAATATTTGGGAAGATTACTTGTACATATAATTATTAGTTTAGTATTTGTAGCCTACATATTTTCTTATTTAAACATCATGTATAGTTTTAACATAACTGGTAAAATGTAACAAAATAAAGTATTTGTATCATAGCTAGGGAGGGTAGTGCAGTGGGCTGTGCAGGCAGGGCCTGGAGGTGATGTCACCCGACTACTCACTGGCTGCCTAGTCCAGAGTAAGTTACTTAACCCATCATTCTTGTCTTTTCCAGATATAAAGATACTTAGTGTTGGTGTCTTCATTATAAATTGTAGGGATGTAATGAAATGAATTCTAGGAGCACTCATGTGTCTATAAATATAATATTTTGTTTAGTTTAGCAGCGTGGAAACTTGGGTGTGGATAATCTCTAGATGATACTAAAGTGTATGATGTATACGCACAGTGCTCTTTTTTTTTAAAGTGGTTCTGGGGATTGAACCAGTGGCTTTGTGCATACTAGGCAAGTGTGGTACTTGTGAGCTGTATTCCAAGACTTATCTTTTATTTACATGTCATTTTTCTTTTAATATGTAAAGAAGTTCATCATTTATCTTTAGTGTACTTTAGTGTGAGATCCATGACCTTCCTATGTAATACCTACATTATCCTGTTGTAGCCATGCTATCATATTTAATATAAAATGTTCATAGGAGAAGCAGAACATTTCAAAATTATATTTGAATTCATTTTTAGACCAGCAGTGCTAGAGGTACTGCCCAGCTAGTCCTGGGTTCAGAATAAAGCACCACAAATAAACCAATGACGAATGTTGTTGTAATGGAACACATGGGATATTTTCAGATGTTTCCCTTGTAGGAATAGGCCAAAAACTTCTGAGAAAGGAATGTAGTTACCTAAATTATCCTTTTATTTCTTTATTCCTATTGGTATTTAAATTAGTGTGTGTGCGTGAGTGTGCATGTGTCTGTGTATCTGTGTATACATGTGTTGCCATGGCATGCTGTGGTCTTCAGAAGACAACTCTGGGCAGTTGGCCCTTGCCTCCACCTTGGAGCATGGCCTTTCTTGTTGCTCTTGCTGCTGCACTGTCTTCTTGGCTAGCTTTCCAGCAGCCTCTTACCTGTGCTCCAGTCTTCACTTCCCGTCAGGCTGTGGGAGCTGAGGTTACAGATGCACAGCACTGAGAGTCTGTGTCTTCCAGGACTCCAGCTCGAGGTGTTAGCTTTCTACTGCTGTGCAGCCCTCAGCTTGTATCTTTATTTTCTTTAATTTTTTAATTTCTTTCTTAATTTATTTGCATATGTGTGTGTGTGTGTATGTGTGTGTACATGCGTGTGTGTGCATACTTGCACCAGTGGTTTCCATGATGTTCATGTGGAGGCCAGGGAACAACTTGTAGTAATAGGCCTCTCCTTCCACAAATTTGAACTCAGGTAACTGGGCTTATCACTAAGTGCCTTTACTTGCTAAGCCATCCGACTGTGACTGTGCTTGTATTTATTTTTTTAATTTTTTTATTTACTTTACATAATGACCACAGTTTCCCCTCCCTTCTCTCTTCCTGTTCCCTTCCCCCATCTTCCATCTATCCCCTCCCCCATTCTCTCCTCTGTCTCCATTCAGAAAAGGGCAGGCCTACCATGGGAGTCAACAAAGTATGGTACATCAAGTTGAGGTAGGACCAAGCTCCTACCCTGGCATCAAGGTTGTGCAAGGTAGCCCAGTATGGAGAACAGGTTTCCAAAAGCCAGCTCAAGTACCAGGGACAAGTCTTGATCTGACTGCTAGGGGGCCCCACAAACAGACCTGTCACACACATGCAGAGGGCCTAG